ACAGGGTCCCCATCGCGATACGGGCTCCGTTGTGACACAGGCGCGTCAAAGTGGTACAGGGTCCCCGTTGCGATATGGGGTCTGTTGCAACACAGGCTCATCAAAGCGGTACAGGGTCCCCGTTGCGATATGGGGTCTGTTGCAACACAGGCTCATCAAAGCGGTACAGGGTCCCCGTCACGATACAGGGTCCCCGTTGCAATACGGGGTCTGTTGTGACACAGGCTCATCAAAGCGGTACAGGGTCCCCGTCACAATATGGGGTTCCCATCACAATACTGGTCTTGAAAGAGACAGAGGGTTCCTGTCACGGCAGAGAGTCCTCAAAGAAACATGGGGCCCCCTGTCATGACAAGGGGTCACCCTGTCCCTGTATGGTGGGATCCCCCAAACAACGCCAAGGCCTCAGAGGAACTGGAGGGGGACCTATCGTGATACTAGGGGGCTGAGGCCCCGGGGGGGGGGGTGCCTGTCATGATACAGGGGGGGCTGAGGCCCCAGAGGAACTGGAGGGACCCTATCACGATACAAGGGGGCCCTATTGCAATATGGAGGGGCCAAGGCCCCAGAATTGGGGGGCCCTATCGTGATACAGGCAGGTCCGAAGCCCCAGAGGAACCGGGGGGGGGCCTATCACGATATGGGGGGGGGCAACGCCCCAGAGGAAGGGGGGATGGGCCCTGTCGCGATACGAGGAGGCAGGCCATCAGCGGGCGCCGCGGGGGGTCGAACCCCGCCCCGGGTGGGTCCCGGGGGTGCCCCCACCGGCGCCTTTTGCTTTTTTTTGGCCTTTTTGGGTGCGGAGGAGAAAAAGCAAAACCTGAGACAACGGGGTTCTCTCAGGAAAAGAAAAAACCTCCCCGAGCGGGGGGAGGGGCGCCCGCCGGGGGCCCCGCCCCGCCCCTCCCCCCCGGGGTGCAAACCCCCTTCCTTTGGGTCCCTGGCCGCGTTTGGGGGGAATCGGGGGGAATTTGGGGCTGGAGAAGCACGGCAGCTCCGTGGGGGGGAGGCAGGCGGGCGCCGCCGCCGCCCCCTGAAACGCCCCGCCAAGGGGGAAAGTGAAACCCCCCAGACTGGTGGAAACATGGGAAACTGCCCCAAAAAAGCGACCTGGGGGCGGGGCCTCCCCGGGGGGCTTTTTTGGGGGGTGGTGGTAGTTTGGGTTTTTTTCACTGAAAAAAACGGGGTTTGGGATCCGGTGCACTTCCCCGGTGCAAAATGGACTCAGAAAGGGCAGGGTTGGGGTCAGGCACGCGTCCCCAGTGCAAAACGGGCTCAGAAAGCAAGTTTTTGGGTCGGTCGCATGCCCCCAGTGCAAAACGGGCTCAGGAAGTGGGGGGTCGGGTCAGGCACACGTCGCCCACATAAAACGGGCTCAGAAAGTGGGATTTTGGGTCCGGCACGCTTCCCCGGCGCAAAACAGGTGCAGAAAGCGGGATTCTGGGTCAGGCGCGCGTCACGGGCGCAATATGGGCTCAGGAAGCGGGATTTTGGGTTGGGCATGCATTCCCATCGCAGAACGGCCTCAGAAAGCGGGATTTTGGGTCAGACACGTGTCCCAGGCGCAAAACAGGCTCAGAAAGCAGGTTTTCGGGTCGGGCACACGTCCCGGGCGCAAAACGGGCTCAGAAAGCAGGATTTTGGGTCGGACGCGCATCCCGGGCACAGGGGGGCCCCACTGGTACTTACTCCGCTCGCTCACCTTTCCTGCCTCTTATTTGGGGGGGGATTTCTACTTTTTAGCCATTTTTTGTACCCAATTGTCCATTTTGGGGCAGATCGAGGCCGTTTTAGGCACCGTCGCTGCGTCAGGGGGAGAGCGGGGGAGGGGAGAGAAACAACAACAACAACAACAACAACAACGGGCACAACAACCGGAACACCACCAGGAGTAACAGCTGGAACAACCAAGATCTTCCCTACCCCAAAAATTCTGCGACTTCTCAACTCTGATTGTTTTGGGGAAAAAACTGTGACAAAGGTTAAAAAAAGCCTCCCCCCTCCCCAGGCAACATGCGAAGGTGCTGACTAAGCTTTCCATTTTTTTTGTAAAAAGCCCCTTTTTCCACTAGAAGTCCCAGTTTGGGGTGTGGGCCTGGCCAACAGCACTTGCTGCACGTTTTGGGGCACTTTTGGCCTTTGGGGTTGGTTTTTATTTTTCCCTTTTCAGATTTGTGGATCTGGGGGAGTGGAGCAGAACGGGGGGGGGGAAGTGGCAAAACCCGCCCAGGGTGAAACTGTGCCACCCCCATCGCACCCAAATCTGGACAGAATTTCCCGGGTTTGGGGATGAAAGCAGCAGAAATACCCTTTTTTTTTGATCCCTACGTGTTTCTGAAGACCCTTTTTTGCCCCAATCTGGCGGTTTGAGACTACGAATCCTCGGCTTTACAGTTGGAGGCGCAGGAGCAGCGGGTGTGGGCGCCGGCCGGGGGGTCTGGAAAAAACACCTGCGAGACACAGCCCCCCCAACCCCGTCAGCCACCTTTTGGGGTAAAAGCAGTAAAGACACCCATTTGTTTCCCATTTATCCGCAAAAACCATCGTTTCTCGCATCGCTCCACACCGGGAGGGGGGTGACGGGGTTGGGGGGGGCGTAACCATGCCGCGCGGCCATTTTGGGGGCCCCAGCACTCCCCCCACCGGTACAACCGCGCCCCAACACCCCCGCGATACCGAAAATGGCTGGAAATGCCCCAAATCCGCAGCCCCCCCGCCTCCCCGCCCCCAAACCGGGTGATTTTGGTGAACCGGGGGTTTGGGGCGCGCCGAGGGTACTTGCCACCATCGCAGATGAAGCCATTTGGGGGCTTTTGCCTTAATTTTTTTTGCTCCCCCCCTCGCTCGCTCCTACATTTACAGCTTGTTTTGGGGGAAAAAGCCTAAATTTAATCATCCTGCTGCTGTTTATGGAGAAAACCTGAAAATACAATTATTGCACACCCCCCCCC